GGACGCAGGGGTCTGGGAGCTGCCAGGAATCTGAGGACTCATCCATCACCTGGCTTTTATGTGCCAGGATCCCCACAGACCCTACATCCCACTGTTGGTCCTCCCTCCTGACCCTAGAAGAGCTTGGGGGACATTCTGGGGCAATATTACTCTCTGGACTGAGGGTTAGACAGACCTAGGTGTTCGTTACATCCCAGCTGTGTGACCTTGAGCAGGTTCTTTACCTTCCCTAGCCTCTGTTTCCTAACCTGTAAAATGGGTGTATCTGTCAGTGGGGGAGGAAGCCAGGGTGTGGGACCTGGGAAAATGTTGGCATGCTTATATTCAACAAGTGTTCAGTGCATGTTGCTGTGTGCCAGGCACTGGACTAACTCACTGCTTTACACGGTTTCGTTTACAAAATTCTCCCACGGTTCTGTTAGGCACATTTTACAGAGGGGAAACTGAGGCCCTGAATGGGAAAGGTCATGAAGGTAGGAAGTGGGATCTGGGATTTGCCCCCTCTCTCAGTCCTGTATATCAACTACAGATCCCTTCTAAGCCTTTTGATATGACTGGGTTTATACTTTCATTTTCAGTTGAATCCCTGCCCCATCACCCTTCCCCAGGTGAGGCACCCTTCTACCTGGCACTTGCTGGGTGAGTGAGGTCTTGTGCCATTGCTCTTGTTAGTGTGGCAGCTGGAGAGGAGGTCGGTTGGAGCCCGTGATCAGAGGCTTCATGATGGTCCAAGTTCCGTTGCTGGCTGGGTCCTGGTAGGAACACTCTCCCAGTGTGGGTGGTGGTTCGGGGAGGAGTCTGTCTCCCTTGGCTCCAACTGGGGACAGCTGGTGGCTTTGTCAACAGACTTCCCCAGCGCCCAGGAGACCTGCAGAGACTTTTAAACTCCCTTTAGACCTGTCACTTTCAGATCAGCAAGGGGTAGGAGGTTGGTCTCCAGAGTAGAACCCTTGGGCAGATCAGGGACCTAAGGCCAAGGATTTATGTTCCAAGTGTCTTAGCCACAGGGCCGTCATTGCCAAACTAAGAGGCAGGCCTTGCTTGTTACCCTAGCCTCAAAGATCCTTGGAGCTAGTATGAAGGATGAACTTTGAGCCAGCAAGATTGCAGACTCGTTGCAGAGATACCTGTCTTTTTGTGTTCTAGAGTCTAGCTAGGCCAATACTGGGCACCTTGTAGCCCCTCAGGAAAGACCCCACTAGTGACAATGAACAGTAGCTCAGATCCCCACTGGTTTTTCATGTGCTAGTTGGGCCCAATCTTTTGGAGTGTGTGTGGATAGGGTAGGGAGGGATATGATTACCAATCAAGCTCTGATTGGGGGTTTTGAGTAATTACTTAAAAGAGGGAATACAAATTGCTAATTAATGACATCTTAAAACCTGGAACTGAGGGCTAGTGTGGTGGGTGTGGTGGGCTCTTGCAGGAGGGAGGTTTTCGCATACAGCTCCAACTGCTCCAAGGCCCTCCAGCTCAGAGGGTGGGATTCCTAAGGATTTGTAGGTTTTCCTTGGTTCCTGGGAATAGAGAGCTCTCCTGGGCTGACATCACTGTCAGCTTGTAGGAGCAAGAATGGAAATTCCACCACTTAGCTCTGAAAAGCGAGGGATTAAGTAGAGGGCTGGGAGGCCTGGAAAGGATCCTTGGGGACTGGGGGCTGTCCCTTGTTGTGTGGTCAGACTCACTTGTTTGTCATTCTGATCAGAACAGAGAGGTCTCTGGGAAAGTCAGCAGGTAAAGGAAGAAAGTCAGCAAGAGATGGAGAGGGAGAGCCTCCCCGTCGCAGAGGGTGTGCAAGGGAGAGTCTTCAGATCCGAGAGATAAGATCAGGAAGAAAGCACAGGTGACAACAGAGAATGTGAGAGATGGTCTCGGCAGCCCAAGCTCTCTCTTCCCTGGCCCCAGGGCCCCGAGTTGCCTGTGCTCTGGGCCTATGTGTCTGTACTTTAGTACCAGAGCCAGACTTAGAAATCTCGAGGGCTTGCACAGACTTCTACTAGGTTGGAATTTGTTTTGAGTATGGCTTGAAATAACAGGACTATTTGGAGGACATTTTTTGCTTGAGAGGGGAAGTTGGGTAATTTTTAAAATTCATATGGAAGATTTCTGTGGCCAGGGGTGGCAGGGGACATGAAATGGGGTGAAGGGCTGGCTGGATTTTGACTAGAGAGGGTTGACAAGGATCAGAGGGGGTTGGCTGTGAGACAGGGTGTGATAAGATGATCAGGAGGGGATGATGCCCGAAGGACAGTGGAAGGAAGAGCTTCCTGGTTGGTAAAGTCAGCAAGGGTTCCTAGAAGAGGAAGTGTCTGAGGGTTCAGGCCCTCAGACAGGACGGTGGGCACCAGACTGCATTGTGGGGGCTTACAGCATCCTGCTTCTGAGCTAGGGTTTTATGCTATAGCTGAGAAGACAGAAGGTTGTAAGCGGTTTGTTGAGATGGTGCCTGTTACAGTGCTCTGTGCCAGGCATAGTGCCAGGCTCCTTACAGACACCCATTGACTTCTTACAATACCCTCAGAGTAGCTGCTGCTGGTCACCCCACCCTGCCCTATTTCTAGATGGGGGAAACAGAGGCTCAGAGGGGTAGAGTCACTTAACAGTGCCACAGTTTGAACCCATACTGATCTGTTTATGTGCCACCGAGTTGCTATTCTCAGGGTCGTATTGGCCACAGATGGTGGTAAGAGTGACAGGGTTGAGACCGGAGGACTTGCCAGGCAGTGGTGGCGCACGCCTTTAATCCCAGCACTCGGGAGGTAGAGGCAGGTGGATCTTTGTGAGTTCAAAACCAGACTAGTCTATAAGAGCTAGTTCCAGGACTCCAAAGCCACAGAGAAACTCTGTTTCGAAAAACCAAAGAGAGACAGAGAGAGAGAGAGAGAGAAAGAGAGAGAGAGAGAGAGAGAGAGAGAGAGAGGAGAACTCATTGATCGTGACCCAGTGGAGCTGACCTAGTCAGCTCAGGCTGAGGCTGATGGCAGGAGAGGGACTACAGGATCATGTAGTTGCCTTGGGGCTTGGCCCAGGTTTGGAGAGGACCTCTACAAAATCACTTTTTTTAATCCCTGGAAAGCTTCCTAGGGGCAGATGCCATAGGCTGGTCCTGTAGGGTTTTTTTGAGGCCAAAGATAGCAGTAAGGTCACACCCAGGGCATCAAACCTGCAAAGAAATTGCCTGAGGACAAGGGATGGACCTCATTGCTGAGTGCTTGCAGGGGGAATGGAGAGTCTGGTAAGGGTGTGGGAGAATGTATCTACAGGGTTAGGTTTTGGTGACTGCTCTCAGTTCCCTTTTTGCCTGAGAACTCAGAAGTGCGGTGGTGCTCAGCCTACTCCCAGCCCTACTGTTCTCATAGCTCATAGCCTTTCCTGTGTGCTTCAGGAAGTTCTAATACCCATTGGCCTTCTTTTTAAAAATGTTTTCTAACCTTTGTTTTTATTTTATGTGTATAAGTGTTCTACCTGCATGTGTGTGTGTGTACATAGTGTGTGTTGGATCTTCTGGGATGGGAGTTACAGACAGCTGCCTCTGGAGCAAGCCAGAACCTGGCCTGCAGGAGTCGGTTCTCATCTTCCACTAAGGTCAGGTATCTTTGTGAGTTTAAGGCCAGCCTGGTCTTCATAGTGAGTTTCAAAACTAAGTCCTTCAAGTTGTCACCTGACCACTATACATGCCATAAACACACTCACTCTCACACATTCTAAATGTGGAAACAAACAAATAAAAAAAGCCCCCAAACTTCTATTTTGGAAAGGGTGGTTGGTGTGCAGTACCCAGCAGGCAGGAGCCATTAAGAGTAGCAGGCTGGGAAGTGTAGGTGAGGAAACTGAGTCCTGGGGCTCATGGCCTGAAGGAGCTGTATCTGGGAAGCTGGACAGGATTTCCTCCCTTTGTTGATGCCTCTGCTTTCTGCCTTCCTTCCTGTCACCCAGGTTAAGGAACTCAAGTCACACAGGCCCAGTCTCCTCCCTAGTGACCATACTGAGTAGTGTCTAAAGCTTGTTCCAGGTCAGTTGGGCAGGTGGCCTATGGCTGCTATCATGACCCATCTCTTATGACTTGGGCTGTGGCCTTGGAGTTTCCAGGAGGGAAGGAGGAATGAATGGTGGCAGGAGAGGTGAGTAGGGGACTAAGGTGGTAGTCAGGTACAGATCAAGTCAAGGCTAAAAGCAAGACTGGGTACCAGACAGGCTGGGGCCAGATCCCTGCTGTCACTCATGTTATAGAACCTGGGCAAGGGGTTTAGTTTATCTGTGCAAAGGAACTGCAATTGTCCTTACCTTGAAGCATTTTAACTCAATGCAGGGTCAGTGTTGGTTACTTATGCTTATCAGGACTGGCATTATTTATTTATTTATTTATTTATTTATTCATTCATTCATTTTATTTTTTGTGGGGGTTGAGATGGTTTCTATGTGTAATAGTCCTGGCTGTCCTAGAACTCACTCTGTAGACCATGCTGGCCTCCAACTCACAGAGATCTACCTACCTCTGCCTTCTGAGTGCTAGGATTAGAAGTGTACATCACCACCTGGCTTTTCATTTTATTTTAATTTTCTGGGTTTTTTTTTTTTTTTTGGACAGGGTTTCTCTGTGTAGCCCTAGCTGTCCTGAACTGCAGGCTGGTCTCCAACTCAGGGATCTGCCTGCCTTTGCCTCTTTGAGTACTGGGATTAAAGGCGTGCACCACCACTGTCTGGTGATAGTTATTGTTTTTGGAGACAGGGTCTTACTGTGCTGCCTGGTTGGCCAATAACTCATTATATGGACCATGCTGGCTTCCAGTTCTGCCTCCCATGTGCTAGATTAAAGATGTGTACCATCAAGCCTAGCTTGATCGTTATTCTTGACTGATATGCTCACATTCTTTTTTGGGGGGTGGTGGTGGGTTGGTTTCAAGTCAGATTTTCTCTGTGTAGCTTTGGAGCCTGTTGTAGAATTTGATTTGTAGACCAGGCTGGCCTCAAACTCACAGAGATCCTCCTGCTTCTGCCTCCCTCCCGAGTGCTGGGATGAAATGCACCACCACCACCACTGGCCGAGCTCTCACTTCATTCTTATAACAGTGGAAATGGAATTAGTATCACCTTTGAGCTGCTATGGCAGCCAAGGTTACAGCCAATGTGTACTGACTTCTGAAGGGCTCCTCTGGCTAGCTCCTTGTTCCAGAGGACCCAGGTTCAATCTCCAGCACCTACATGGTGGCTCACAACTATAATTCCAGTCCCAGGGGTTCTGACACCATTTTCTGACCTTCATGGGCACTGTACACAAGTAGTGCATAGGCATACAATACATTCAGGCAAACACTCATCCACTTAAAATAAGAAAAATCTTTAAAAAAAAAAATCCCAGAGGTCATGTGATTAAAAGATGGTGGGGATTCTGGTCTTTCTGGTCTGAGGTTTGGCTCCATGATGGAAAGCCTGGATTCTCAGCACCCTTAGGCTGGCCAAAGACTGGCTTGTCTGGACAAGTCTCCAGGTGGCGGAGGGTGGAGGCTTGTTGTAGTCTTTGCTCAGTGGCAGACACCTCTGGTTTGTACCCTCTGCTTTGCTTGCATATAGCTACCTGCCCAGGCAGATGCCAGCGAGAAGTGGATGTTGTCATATGTCCTTATTCAGATTGTGTCCCTCTGCCTACATTCCCTTCCTCCTGACAGTTGTGGCATCCTGGCTCATGCTTTTAGAGGAATGGAAGCAGTAGGTGCTTTCCCTGCAGGTGTCTGCCAGTGGTTCTCAAAGTTGGACTATTGGCATTTGTATCACTTGGGAACTTGTGAGACCCACTGAGTCAGCTGCTGGGGTGCTGGGGCCCAGCAGTCTGTGTTCATTTACTCTCCCAGTAATT